ACAATATTACACTGTAAATACATTTACAGCAAGTTAAATGACACGGTAAAATAAAATACAGTATTTTTGCTAAAAAATAAAATTACAGTAAATTACGAGCGAACTGCTGCCAGTTAGTTACTGTAATTTCTACAGGAAGTTTTTTTTTTTTACAGTGGAGATATGAATTTACCATTTATTTTAATAAATATCAAAAATCTAAAAGGTGTGCATTATAGTTGACACCTACATTAACACTTTACAGTTGGTTTTATGACTGTGAGTCATTCTCAAATGCTATTGAGCTTTAAATTATGGCATATTTTGCTACATTCAGAAATAAATGAGTGATTAAAGGAAAATAAATAGGATGAGTTTAGCATTTCCTTAAACATTTTCCATTTGCCCACCAATTTATTTTATTTATTTGCCTACTTTCGTCACATGTTTAATTATTTCTATATGTATTTAAACAAGAATTTGTGTATTTATACACATTTATTTATTTATTTGCACATTTATTTATTTATTTGTGTATTTATTTATTTATTGTTTTTGCAGGTTTGGTCCTCCATATATGCGCGTTCATGAGCCTGGCAATTACCCAAAGGTAATAACAAGTGAACGAGAACACGTTTAGTTCGTACTTTCACTCAAGTAATGGAGTTGAGTACTTTGTCCGCCTCTGGTACTAATATTACAAATGTATTGGCAACAGCCAACACCAGTTATTTTAAAATAATTATTTAAATATATTTAAATATATATATATTTAAATAAAGCCCACTAGATTGTAGATTGACCAAAAACTATCTATCTATCTATCTATCTATCTATCTATCTATCTAGTACTTTTTTGTCAATCTATAGATTAGATGAAGCAATGTTATAGGCTACCTTTGACAAAAAGACATTCAAAATTGTAGTAAAACACCTGTTTCCATTATTTATTTTACAGTATTTCCAATGGCACTTTTTACCTAAATTGTAGTATTGACTGCATTCATTAAGCTCAACACTGCAATCCTGTTCCAAGTTATTGCAAGAAAAAAGTGAGTGACATCTTGTTTTAAGCTATATTTAGCTAATATTATACCCATTATATTTTGTCTGTTTGTATATTTTGTTTACTCATGTTTATTTTATATACATTTATTTTATATTTCTAAAATGTTTATTTAATGTTTATTGCAAGAACATTTTGGTAACCGCTGCGCTGATGGAAGACTTAAAGAGATGCATAGCATGAGAACGCGAAGGAAGCAACCAGGTAAGGTTAAACATGTAATGGACTTGCAGTTCCTGACCTACATCTGTCCTGCCTGGTTGAACAGATAATTAAATCTTGTGGCCATCTGGCTCCCTCTTGTGGGTAGACATTAAAGCTTTGTGTGTTTGATCATGAGAGCTTGTACTGTCTTTGTGTGATGCAGGTGCTAAAGGACATAAAAATACACTTATTATATGTGTAAAAGGTTGTCGGTGCCATCAAAATGAGAGTCCAAACAGCTGATAAAAACATCACAATAATCCACAAATAATCCACACTACTGCAGTCCTTCAATTAACATATTATGAAGTGAAAAGCTGTGTTTGTAATAAACAAATCTGTCAAAATATGGCCATACGATATGACTCCTCTATCCATAATCCATTCACCAGTGAAAAAGTTGTCTCATCTGAATCAGCAGCGAAATATGCACAGATCAAGCACTGTTTACAAGCAAAAACAGTCCAAAACAGATATACTTGTGGATTATTGTGATGTTTTCAGCTGTTTAAACTCTTATTCTGACAGCACCCATTCACTGCAGAGGATCCATTTGATGAAATGCTAAATTCCTCCAAATAAAACTAATCTGTATCTTGGATTGCCTAAAGGTGAGTATATTTTCATCAAATTTTCATTTTTGGGCAAAATATTCCTGTAAGTACTGAGAGGGCCCCACTGTAGTTTCCACTGGTGAACATTAGATGGAGCCATGAGAACCCTAACCAGCCCTCTCATGACTCACTTGCTCTGCTCAACATCAGGAGTCATCTGTTGTGCCCCATGCAGTTTAATCAATTATTTCATACACTGCCAAATTCGGCAAATATAAACATTCTGCAACTGATCTTAACCTCCCTGCATTCTCTTCTCATCAGTTCAATGAAACACTTTTAATCAGATCTGTCTTGCTTTTTCGCAACTATTTGCTGAAAGTGTACTCGCCCTCAGGCCATCCAAGATAGATGAATTTGTTTCATCATCTGAACAAATTTGGAGAAATATGGATCCTCTGCAATGAATGGGTGCCGTCAGAATGAGAGTTCAACCAGCTGATAAAAACATCACAATAATCGACAAGTAATTCATATGGTTCTAGTCCATCATTTAACGTCTTGTGAAGTGAAAGGCTTTGTGTTTTTAAGAAACAAATCCATCATCCCAGTTCTCATTCTAGAGTACAACAGGAAATAGACATTTTACTGAAAAAGCGTTATTAGAAGTGACAAGGTAAAGTAAAATGCCTTAATAGTGGATTTGTTTCTAGCTCCTCATTGGTGGCCTGCTATTTGATGAGGATATATCTCAGGTACCTTTTCGAGGAAACACTGCATTATATGTGAAATATGCCACATCTTGAATTTATAACTGGTTACATATTTTTGTTGAAGATTCTTCATTCACGAACAGCTTGTAACACTCCAAAGAGAAAGGAAAACTTGAAATCGCATCATATGACCCCTTTAAAATAAACTGTTAATAAGGTCCTATGAATGTCTCATATTGTTTTTTTCCGGTCCTTGTTTATTTGTCTTGTCGGTCCTTGAAATGGTCATGGATTCCAACCTGACCTTATCTGAGATTTAATTGTGGCATTCGGAGAGAACATCAGGAACTGTTAAACAGGCACAGAATAAACAATAGAGCCGAGTGGGCATACACTACTATTCAAAACTTTGAATTTGGTAAGATTTTATGCTCACCAAGGTTGCATTTATTTGATCACAAAGACAGTAGCCAGAAATATTGTAAAACAATACATTTCCTACATAAACAATTTAAAAATACCTTCGGATGCATAATAAGGTAAACTAAAAGGAAACAAAAATACCAAAAGATAGCAATTAAGCAGAAATGGAGTATTGATCCTAAGCCTCTGCTGAATCACATTTAAACTGGTCCCTAACCTGCTGGGACTAGTTCTGGCAACAAACTGCCTGGTGGCTATAACAATACACCATGTGACCTGACACCAATGTGCAACAGCACATGGACAAACGTGGAATTCTCTATTTTCTGGCTGCTGAACATTTTTGTGTGCCCTAGGGTCAAGGGAGTGACCTATGAACCTATCAGGAGCTACTGTGGGCTCCTGTATTTGCCACTAGTAGGGCGACTCTGACTCAACTACTGAGCGCTTGGATCCACAAACTCCCACCCTATCTGGTTGTGTTGAGGTTAGTTTTAACATCAACTGAACTGAGTTTTAACATCAGCTGAGCTTGATTCCCTTGGTGGGGAACTCAGTGTTACTGTAATATCCCACGATGAACTGAAAGGTTCAGATGACTTTGACTAGATATGACTGATGCTTCATTGACCCACCAGTGACAGATCATCATGAGTCTGATTCGAGCTAACTGATAAATATAGGAAATTAGTTGACTGTTGTGGAAGTAATAGATAACATTTGAACTTTTGAATTCAAATTTATATTACTAAGATTGACATCAATAGTGCGTCTATAAATTTAGGCCTATGTCTATAACCACACTTTTTATTGCCCTTTAATTAACTGTGTGATATTGTCAGAATTATCTATTTATTTTGCTTTAATTGTTCTGTCTGACAGGGCAAAAAATTACAGATAACCTTTCATCAGTCTTTAAAAAGCTTGTTTGAAAGCAAACACCCAATATCACTGTTTAAGGTTAGTTCTTCTTGTAATTATAAAATGGCCTGTTTCCCAACCCTTCAAGTGACATATCCATCTGGTAACCTCAGGAAGTCTTCTGAGCAAAAGACGTGCAAACTGAGATGGTCTTAGATGGACCAAGGCATTAATAATTCATATGTTTTGAATGCAATGTCAGTTCTGTGTAGTGGTGACAAGTCCATCAAGATTCGCATAACACAAAAAAATAATAATAATTTCCACTAAAAGTAAAATTGTAAATTAACCAACTTCATATTTCATATTCCTCATAGTTCATATTGAAAAATGCATGTGATGACTTTACTTAAAAGAATAATGAAATTCAAAATCTAAAATCAGGCTAAATAGTTAAGCCATTGTCTTGCCTCTAATTTTGACAGTAATTTTCCATTGCAGGTGCAGGGTATAAATGAAAAGATACTTGATTTACACTGGTTGGACCCTTTGGAGAACTGTAACCTGAGAAACCTTAAATGGTGCTTCAAGTATTATTTGATTTTCATATCATCATACAGGATAAAGAAATAAACAAAAAACTAAATAAATGACGAAATAAAAAAAATACAGAAATGAGTAACTGTAGGCTATATGCAAAATCGGAAAATGATACATGAATAAAAAACCTGAAGTAGGCCATGTGATAGATTGCTGTATTGATAAATTAATTAATAAACAAAGGAAGGATTTAATAAACAATACGTTAAATCGTGTGAAAAGTGTAGTGTATAGGCCTAATGTTATTTATTTCTTTGTTGTTTGTTTTATGATCTATATTTCTTTGCCGTGTATATTCTGATTTGTTTCCCATAAACGATTCCGTTGTGGTTGATATTGTAGAATTCTCGCAGCTCCCGATTGCAAGCAATCCGTAATATCGCAGGTTCACAGGTGCAGCGAAAAGTCCTTGTTTCGTGACATATCAACTACAGTGCAGCGGTGTCTGATAGCTTAAGTCATCACACGACGACGAATAACTGCGTTTACATTTAAAGAACAATTCTGCAGTGTAATATCGCGTTTTTATTTTCGCTTGCATATTGAAAAGTCAGTCGTGTCCCCGCCCAAGCGGTCTCGGTGAACTCCTGTTCCACAGAGGAGGGGTCAGACGCTTCACGGTGGGACGACGAGCAAAGAGAGGAGTGAACAAGGGGAGCCAGATAGATTGGTGGGTTTTTAAAAAGACTGCTTGAATTTGTTGATCTCAGGTTTCTTCTTTGTTTTGCTTCATCAGGAGAAACGCGTTACAGGCCACTCGATAGAAAGCGAACTCATAAAATAGGGCAGATGCGTCTGGCGTAGCGTGGGGCTGAAACGCCCAAATATAGAGCAGCAAACGTTTGGAATTACAATCACGTCCTACCGCTTGGAAAATCTGAAACTGGCCATAGAGAAGCCCGTTTCGATAGGCCACGACCTCACATCGGGACTTTAACGAAACCAAAAACAAAGGTAGACTCTATGGAAACTCTTCTGTTTGTTCTGATCTCTCTGATGGCTTTCTTTGTGGTCTTCTGGTTTTCCCTGTTTGGCCTCGTAATTGAGGAGTAGAACAAAGTTAGCCAGCTCTCCATGTTAGCAGGCTAGTGGAGTTAGCTGCCGTGCTAATCGAAATGGCACGAGCGTGAGGAGGATCTTTGGGACGGAGGGAGCTTGTTTCCTTGAAATTCCTCAAAGTTCACCTCTAGATCGAGTGCGTAGTCTTTTCTTGCTATTGTAACGCAGGCTTTGTGAAAGTATTAACCGGGAGCGGAGCATTTCGGTGGTTTTCCAACCTTATTGCAGAAATCCAGGATAAACAGAACAGATAAAGTTACGTTACTGGTTTTGAGAACTCTTTTGTTTTATGTGCGTAAGTAAATATGACACCGTTTTTGTATTTAATTATAATAATGTTCAAGGCATAATTTCTACAAATGAATACAGAAACTGATTTAGATTAGCGTCAGTGCCTCATATCTAACGTTATAATGTGACCATTTCAACGGTTTATAGATATCAGTGGAACTTTTCTTTCTTTTTGCACGTTTAGGACCGTAATATATTTAGAACTAACTATAGGTGTTATCGAAATCTAGATGTGAATTTAAAGTGGATAGTAATGCATCTGTGGGTGAATAAATGGCAGTGAGGTTGAAACGTTCACTGCATTGAAGTAAAGCGGGTCAAGGCCCATGAACACACCTGAGTTTGCGGAAGTAATTTAAAGCATAGTTTATGGAGAATACCAAAAGTTGCCAAATATAGTATCCAGTGGGGGGTGTGTGTGTGTTATTTATTTAAATGTAATAAATACAAGTGACTCTTAACGAATTAGTAGATTTAATTGAAATCAAAATAACAGGATTTCCAACTGGGAGGTAATGTATTGGATTTGAAAATGATTTTTACACAGTGTTTTTGCGTCGAGATTAACATGTTTTGAGTTCAAGTATGTAGTATCGCGTTCGCCACTCCTGCTTTACCTGCTCTGAGCCTCACAGGTGCCACGGCGCTGTGTTTCTCAGGTTTACTTGACTTTGACTCCTATCTGCGGCTTTTTTTCCCAGAAGAGGGCGAAATTCGGTCAGTTAAGTCATCGGGTATACGCAATAATCATTACGGGAAAAAAGTTTGGGAACCTGTTGAGCTAGTATTTTAGTGCAAGGGTGTGAGTGGGGGAAGGGAAAGGCGCGGCTCTCTCTCTTTCTCTCTCTCTCTCCCTGTGTGTGTGTGTGTGTGTGTGTGTGTGTGTGTGTGTTAACAGTGAATCTCATTTACACACAACCCGCGTGAAGCAGCAGGTTACACTGTATGTGTGTGCTTTACCTCACGAGTCGTCCGAGACTCTCGGCGTGATTCAGTGCCGCTCATGATGCTGTTTGGGATTTTTCCTACTCGCTTACCTTGACCTGAAAAGGCCGATACGTGTGTACACTCGCCCGATTTAAGACGCCCCCCACCCATAGAGGAAGTTCGATCCTCCGAATTAGTGAAGAATGAGTAAAAAACTGTGAGGGCAGGTGTGTCTTTGAAGACGACTCCTCAAGGACGGGTAACCAAATAGTTTGACCGCGGTAATGACCGGCTCTAATGTTGTTAACAGCAGGGTGTGTCTTTCAAACGCGGAAGGACACAGCGCTGTTTTTAAAAACACTGTTTAATTATTTCGTACTAACATACATGCAAAAGACGGTTAACATAGCATACCAGTACATCATAATGGAGTATTGAATTGTAGTGTGCATCAATGTAAAAAATAAATCAGTGTAGTACATTACAAAGATGTAATAGTAATAATAATAATAATACTTATTATTATTAAAAATTTATTTTTTTGCTTATGAAGTTTAGCTAAAAATGACAGATCTTACAGAATAAATTCAAGACCTTTTCTAATTAATATTATTTTTTTATTTGTTTTTTCTTATGAAGTTAAATTGAAACAATTACAGAACTTACAGAATAAATTCAAGACTTTGTCATTTATGTTGCTAGCTTTTTTAATACATTTTCTTATTTTTAATATGTAGTAATCTTGGTAATCAAGCAATAAGGCGTTCCACTGCATGCTGGGACAGTGACTATATTCACAATATGCCACAGCTTTTTTTCTTGAAGCAATGGTTCACCCAGGAAAGAAAATTCTGTCATAATTTACATACCCTCATGTACTTCCAAACCTGTATGACTTTCTTTTGCAGACCTCAAATAATGTTTTGAGGAATGTTTGTAACCAAACAGTTTGGGTGACCATTGACTTGTACGGAGAGAAAAAAAAATCTCAAAATATTGTCTTTTATATTCCACAGAGGAAAAGGTCATGCAGGTTTGAAACAACATGAGGGAGAGTAATTGATGACAATTTTAATTTTGGATGAACTATCTCTTTAAACATTGTGTTGTCAATGGCAGCTTAAATAGCGATGAAAGAACTGACAGGACTGATGGTGTGTAAAATCTTACTGTAGACCTCTTATCTTATTTTAATACAATATTTGAGAAGAACCAACCAGCCAGTCTTTAACATATTACTGGCAACAGCAATCTCCAAAAAGTTATTTTGGTTTTGAAAAATTTGTTTTTGTCATTAAAGTTGATCCCATCTAACCCAGTTTGGGAGTAATAACTACTAAAGAGTTATAGTTTTGCTGACTTTATGCAAGTTGTATAGGAGCTGAGGGACTTGCTTGCTTAATAACGGAGTTATTCTTCCAAATGTATAGGGAAATCCTATGTACTTATAAATGTTCATAAGATGTTCATAAGAATAATTTTACAGTTCTATCAAAAAAGGTCCAATATATGAATTATGTCTCTGTTAAAGCAATTTGGCCAAAGTAGAAATATAGTACCACTTGTTCTTTTGCAGTTCTTCCAAAGGAAAGAACTTTGTGGAGAGAAATCATGCTGGTAATAGTTCTTCCAAGCATGATTTAAAAAAAAAAAGCACATCCTTCTCTTTTCCTCAGGGGTTACAACACTACACTTTAGGTTTTCAAATTCCAGGCAACGTCATTACAGGAAGAGAGGACAGTCTGCCCCTCCTTGTTACCTTTTACCTGCAGTAACGGCCTCAGGTTGATGTTTAAAAAGCGTTACGTCACCAGCACTCCCATTTCCGGGTCTCTGCGCTCTGACTGCAAGCTGTTTGAATGAGAAGTAAAGGCTATAATGTCAATGTGTAATGGCTAATTGACGTGTCTGTGCAGAAAAGGTTAGTAGATACTTCCCAAATGCTTTGAGGCTTTAACACACACTGAATGCAGTTAGAGTTATAGTTGGTTAAAGCGCATGGCTTTTTGCAGATCAGTTGGCTGCATGTGTACCAAAGTTCACTGAGCATTAGACTGGAGCCAAGCCAGTGCTGATGGTGTTGCTCTTTACGTTTCAGCATTGTCTGAGTCAGCAGGAACCCAGAAGCATGCATGATGTGTGGTGAAATAGTACTATGCTATACACCTTAGTCAGGTTAGACGCCGTATTGAATTTAACGAGGATGAAAACAAGGCTGTGAGCGATAGACTTAGTTTTTACAGTGGCATAAGAGTCCTAGATCACGTAATTTTATAACTCTCTTTTAAACTTTCAAACTGTTTTATAGAGTTTTGTCTACCGAATGTTGTCTCAAAGACATTTAGTCATTCCAAAGATCGGTTTTATTGTTAAACAACAGTACAGTCCATTAAACGCACCATACTTCTGTCCCTCACAGCCTTGTTTTCATTCCTGTCAAAAATTAAATATGACTCTACACTGATGAAGGTCTATTATCAGAATTCTCATGTTGGTATGTGTATAAAGGTGTTTTGCTGCATTATGAATCATGCTTTTTTTAATATGGTCTGGCATTTGACCAGGGCCCGTATGTATAAAACTTCTCAGAAATGCTTTGACTTAAGTGTCAAAAAATTCTTAGTTACAAGTAGGACTTTCATAAGAGTAGGAGATATGTATAAATAAGCTAAAAGCAACTTTTAGTAAAGTCTAAGACTGATTCTTAAGTGTTGACTGAGGTGACACTTAAGTGTCGCAAACTAGGGGCTACAAGAATGTCAACCCAAAATGGCTGCCCTCGACCTCTGAAACAGCCAATAGTGAGCCTGCTCATATGAAGTCACAGCAGCACAACACTAAACATTTAATGTAACGACAATAACATTATTTAAGACACTGAAATATTTTAATATTTACATTTATTTAAAAAAAATGCTTTGCATTGTGCTAAATTATCATAAATTGTTACTGATGTTTTGAAATTGTTTTCTATTGGTATGTCTCCTCGTTTGCAGTTGGAGCACTGATGTGAACATGAGTTCCATCAACAGCTCAAACAACTCCAGGAAAGCCCACAATCCTCATAAAAGTGGCTTGTTTTTGCAGCATGGTTTGACGGTCAGTTGGAAAGTCAAAGAGCTGCCATATAGTAGTGGCCAAAAGTGATGCTGGCCTAGGAAATTTGACATCTTCACTAACGATTAACCACGAGCTGGTTGAAAATCGATTCAAATATGGTTGAGTGTGAATATGGTTGAATCAATGATTCAAATCGGTTGAGATGCCAAACAAATCGCGATACAATTAGATTAGGCGTTTATATGAATGTATCTCTTAGGGAAACTGGCTATCTTTAGAAAAGTTTACGTGGCATTTTCTTTTCATCTTGCCTCTGAACAATGCATATTAAAGTTGTGTTCTTAAGCGCAGATCTGGGCCCATATTCACAAAACATTTTATCTTACCGCTAAGAGTTCTCCTAAATAGCAGTAAAAGTTTTTAGCTAAGAGTTTTCTCTTAAAACCTATTCACAAAGCTGCTGAGACAAACTTTTACTAAGGAATAGAGAGAAGTCTTAAGCTAAGAGTAAGGGCGGGGTTGACCTTGTTGCTATGGATGATGTCAGCATACTTACGAACTATGCACACAGTGATTGGCTGATAGTCTCTGTCAGAGATTTATTCATAGAAATATTG